TTCTCCTTCCCTTTGCCAGCCAGGACCTCACATACTGTTACGGATTGAACTGTCCTAGTGATGGTCCATTACATTTAATGAAAACCAGGCTGGACAGTCGGCTGACAGAGAGAGCATTCCTTTTTGCAGTAAGGATATCGTTCATGCAGCTGAATGCCCGCTCACACTCACTAGTGGAGACAGCGATGGTTCAGACTGCTTTCAGTAGAGGCTCCATGGCAGCAGGTGTACGGGATGCCCTGGTTTCCTTGTATTCGCGAAAGCCCTGAACAGTCTCTCTTCTGTCCACTTTCAGCACTTCGCACAAACGTAGCACCTCTACGTCCCCATACTGTACGTCTAACTCCTCTTCAGGCCAACTTCCAGGATGGATAACTTTCATGTCCTGGATTAGCTGATTGTCCCGGGCCTCCCGGCCATGTAATGGGATTTCTCTTGTGCTGACATGAGAGGAGGTTGTGGAAGTCATTCTGTGTCTCAGATTCTCTACCATACTGCGGAAAAACTGACCTGCATGAATCTGTACAAGCCTGCCATTCTCACGCAGGGCAACACCCTTGAAGGACTTCTCAGCTAGAGCTGTATGAACTGTAGTCATGTGTGGGCCAGGCATGGTGACCATGGATTCAAAAACTTGTATTTCTCGAGTTAAGAGCCTATCTGCTGTAGGCAGTGTCATCTCTCTTTTTTGGAGTTGCCGAGAGAGGTCGCTGAGCTCTGTGAGCGCATCGTACATCAGTCCCAGATTGCTGACAAACGTTGCAGATGTGAGCACATCATCCAGGCCCTTGTACTTTGCTCTGTCTCTGGAATCCCTGCTCGTGTCGTTTGCAGCATTTGTGAAGTGATCATGAAGCACTCGGTAGTTTTCCCAGACTGCTCTGACGCTCCTTTCACTTGAAGCCACCCAGCGGATGGACAAAACACGCCCTATCACCAGGAGACGCTGTCCGACTGCTTGCGCACACTGCGCTAACTGCCTCTGATTTTTGGGGGAGGCATGGAACAAGGAATAGAGTTTGTCAAAAAAGATCTGGAAATGATTGAGCCCTGAGACCTCCTTGACCACATCCCCAACTGCCAGCTCTAGACGATGATTGGAGCAGTGCCACACAAACAGGCTTGGGAATTTACTACACAACTGGGTAGCAACGCCTGTTCTCTTCCCTAGCATGACTGAAGCCCCATCACATGCAAAAGAAACGAAACACTGACCTAAAAAGTCCTCTTAAAATCTCTTCCAAGACACTCCATTAACGCCTTTGTGATGTCATCAGCCGTTGTTCCATCCAACTCGATCAGCTCCCAAAAAAACGTTTCGGGCTCAGCATCAGCTAATGCTGAGCGTAGACACACAACAAGCACCGTTTTACCACTAATAGTGGTAGATTCATCGAACAAAACACAGAGTTTTCTTTGGTTTTCTGTAATGTCTTTTGCCATTTTTTTCTTCAGCTCATGAGCTATGTGGTCGATGATTTCGCCACAGGTTTTATTGGAGTGCAAAACCCTTCCCACGTTCAGCCCATTCAGTTTCTGTACATTCAAATCAATTGGCATGTCTGTGAATGGCCGGCTATGTTTGCCAATTTTATATGCCGTTCGAAAAACTCTGATAGTGGTGTCTAATTCAGATTTATGCATAGACTGCACTTGATGTTGAATAGTTTCACGTGAAGCAGATGTAAGGATGTCAGCAGCTTTTACATGGGCTTGTGATTCTTTATGTTCTTTGATTTTTTTTTTCTCAGGCTAGCTTGTTGTTTGCCCTTGTCAACACCGAAATGAGACACTGCACACTCACCCCATTCAGTTGACAGTTTCAGTCCTTGTCCAGTGTGTATTCCCAAAGATTTGACATCTCTGCATATCCGACATCCTAGCTTCTTATCTTTAAGAAGGAGCCATGCATTGGTCTTGCAAAAATATTGCACCTGGTCCGTTGTCCAGCAGTCAGGTGCATCGCTTTGCCTGGTGTTGGTGGTGGCAGTTGCGCTAGCAGCAGCTAACGTTAGAGGCTCTGGAGGAGGCGGCGGAGCTAGTGCTAATGCTAATGCACTAGAACTTGGAGCAGGAGGATCAACCAAAGAAAGCTCCCCATCAGACACAATTTCCGACACAGGCACAGCATTCTCTGTATTTGAAGTTTCTTCCGGCGACAACCGCTGTCTTTTTGCACTTTTATTAATCCACGCTAAACATTTTAGAAATGCTAATTTGTGACGTGACTTGCTTTCCTTCTCTCGGGGGCGTGCCTGCTCTGTTCTATCACTCTACATAGCCACCCACTGGGTGGGAGTTGCACTGCATAAACACAACACACGTGCATCTAGGTATGTAAATTGTAAAGCATTAAAACATGGTTTTACTAACAGTTTTCAGTATGTTGTTACTTCGGCATTATTATTATTATTATTTTGAAACGTGTATTACTATTAAATCACGGTCAAATAGGTTAATTTTGACATAGTCGTTTCCACCACAGTATTTACATGGAGAAGATAAGCCCCGCCCCCTCTCCAGCACGTTCTGTTTGAATGACAGGAGTAAACAGCTGACAGCCGCTGTGAAACTCCAGCGGTTAGAGCGATGAGAATGTCCGTTCGGCACCTCATGACGCATCTACTGAGTACCGGGCGGCTGTATATATATATATGGATGTATAATAAGAACGGCGGGAGAGTGTTGAGTACTGGCACGGTGCATGAGTACCGGAGTACCGCCAGCATGCCGGTACTGAGCAAGAAGTGCCGGTACTCCATGGGTCAGAACCAGAAGTGCCGGTACTGCGTACCGGTGAGTACCGGCCCAATTCCAGCACTGTATGTAATACATGTTAACGGCGTCAATAGCCACTTTAATGATACTAATGGACGGTAGTCCCGGATGTCGTCATGAAGGATTTGCAGAATAAAAGCTTGGTATTGAGAACTTCCGGTTTTTTCCAGAATAAAATAACATTTAAACTGACGGTATGTTTAAGGTACATTATGCCATAAAACATTGATTTTAATTTCTAACAGATGACTTACTGTACTGAAAATATGGTCTTCTCCCACGTCGAGCAGTCTGTAGCCACGCAAAATGTCAGTGAGTGACTATGTGACATCCGTCCTCTTTGGTTACTCTTCAGCGAGCGTCTTAATCATTGGAATGGAATCAGAATGTAATGTTGTAGCGGAATGTCTAAATCCTACCCGGATACAGCCATGTTATTTTCTAATTGGCTGTTCGACAGCTTACATTCTTTTGATTGGTTGATGCGTCAGTGATTCTGTACTAGTTTGTTTACAAAATTGCGGCGCAACTTGGTGGGCGGTACCCTGGAAATAAATCTCTGCGTGAGAAATACAAGGTGTGGCGTGTGAGCGTGTGAATGGAGTGAAATGCGTGTGTCACACGCCAAATGCGTGAGACTTGAGAGCTTTGCAAGTCGTCAGTAAAAACAGAGTAACAGTGTTGTGCCTTTTGTAGCGTTAGCGTATTTCTTCTTCTACTACTTCTTCTTCTACCTACTTCTTCTTCTACTACTTCTAATTCAATGTACCTGCCCGCGAGATATTGGACAAAAGAAACTCGGCTAGTAGTGTCAACTAAATCCGTAGTATTACAACAAAAGTGTTTTAAACGAGGTAAGTTACGAATTTATGTTCTCAATCGTCATGTGTGGGATTGAATATTAAATTAGTTTAGATTTATTGTCCCCAGGGGGACATTCATTTTCACAGCTCTGTGAAAACAATATGAAATCAACAACAAATAAGACAGACAACTACAGCACCACACATGATGGTTACTTGTTATTATTTAGGGCCGCCTGTATGGATCAGGTTTTTGCCAAATCGAGCCCTTTTACTATAATAATAATAATAAGTTGTGTATTATATCAACCGTATTGGTACAATGAGCGACATCTAGTGACGGATTTTGGAACACTGATTTGATTTTTCTCATGGCAGTTAGACTCTAGAGACAAACCAGGGGACTTTATTTGTATTTTTAATCTGTGTGTCTGTCCATTTTGTGTAGTATTTTATCCAATATTACATTTGGTTTATATATTAGTCACTTTCTTATGAAATGCCAGGTTTTAGGTCTTGATTTGAACATTCAATCCTGGAAATAATTGTTCTTTAATCCTGACATGACTAGAGTAGGTAGTAAGTAAGTAAATCTGTATAGGAAGACGAGTTAAGGGATAGAGGAGAAAAGGTTATGGTATAATTACAGAGTCTGTAGTCTGTTAACCAAAGTGCAGCCATCTATCTATCAACAACTATTAAAGATCAGAGGAAAAGAACAGAACGAGAGGGGTAAATCCAGAATAACAATAAAGAAGCAAAGAGATTGTAGAGCAGTGAGAAGGAAAAAAGCTTGGTGAGTCAATTCATTACATTGCCAGTATTTTTCGTTGTTGTGAAAAAAAAATCACCCCCTCTGATTTTTTAACAGCCCCCTCAGTCATTTCATCCTGGAGCCGGGCCTGACTAGGACTCTGAGGCAGATCCCAGGCTCTGGAATTCCTTCCCCAAGATCTTCGTGATTCCGAGTCCCTCACACTCTTCCAGTCCAGCCTCAAAACATATATTTTCACCTCTGTCCATCCATAAGACACCCCCTCCCCCCATCAATCCATTTCCTGTTGACTGTCTTTGTTTGTCCTTGTTTGTACACCCTCCCTTATACTGTAAAGCATCTTTGAGTTCAAGAAATAATAATATAATTTATTATTATTATTACTTGTGTAAAAACTATCTTTACAGCACCTAGACATTTTCTCTTTCCTGACTAGTCATGCTCTAACTTCTCACCTTTCTGCAGTGATGGACAGGTCACCGTTGGGTTCGGAAATATGTGAAAACCCTCTGATGGTGTGGTAGTGGAGAAAAACTCCACAAAACAAACAATCCTATGTCACACACACATTGATACAGTCACAGTGGCCAGAGTGTTTCTGTGGTTCTGTGTTTTGCTGACCGGCTGATGTGTTTTCTGTTCAGAACACCAAGCAGCCATCTTGTCCACTCAACAACCGAAGGAGAGCCATGAGGTCAGTCTCTTTCTTTATCTTTACATAAAGCTGAGGCTGAAATAATTTAAAGCATCATGTCATAACTTTATATTTTTATTTTCATTATAAAATAATTTTATTTTTTATTCTCAAGATATTCCAATAGGAGGAGCCCTGGTTGCCTCATGTGGTCGGATTGTGTTCAAAGCTATTCATTCATGTTTTATCACGTAGATATTATGAATACATGATACAGATACATGGATTAGTCCCATCGGGTCATCGTTAATTTCTGAATGTACCAGTGACCATTTCGGATGTAAAGGAGTGATTTCTACATTCGCCAATCAACAGATTTCACACAAAGAAACATCTCTGATTTGTGTTTTGGTTCGTTTATATGAGCAGGAGGAGTGTGTCCTTCCTTCAGCGAAACTGAAGGCCAAACACGTGAACGTGATCCAGCAGCTGGAGCAGACCATCGAGGCCCTCAGGACCAAGATCGCTGAGCTGGAGCAGCTGCCCCCCCTGGACACTGTGAAACCCCCCCCCTCCACCACAGACCGGGAGGTGGGCGGAGAGGAGGGGCTGCTGAGGGCAGTGTGTGACGCCCACCTGCAGACTGAAACCATTGTAGCTGCGGGGGGGGCTGGAGGCCAAGTCGGTGCAGACCTCTCCCATGGAGGACAGCTTTAAGTTCAAAGTGCCTTACAGTGAGCCGGGTGGAGCGGACCCTCCCCCGCAGCCTCCACCCAGGCAGGAAGGCTTTCAGTGTCCCTGTCAGCTGCAGCCCCCCCCTCCACCTCCACTTCCAGGAGGAGCAGTACCTCCACCTCCACCAGGACAGATTATGGCACCGCTTCCTCCACCACCTCCCCCTCCACCTCCACTTCCAGGAGGAGCAGTACCTCCACCTCCACCAGGACAGATTATGGCACCGCTTCCTCCACCACCTCCCCCTCCACCATTACCAGGAGGCTTAATGCCACCTCCACCTCCATTACCTTTTGGTTCAGCATGTCCTCCACCTCCACCTCCACCTCCACTTCCTGGTGGTATTGCTCCACCCCCACCCCCTCCTCCTCTCCCTGGTGGCATGGCTCCACCTCCTCCGCCATTACCAGGAATGGGAGCCCCACCTCCTCCACCTCCACCTCCAGGGTGCGGGCCTCCTCCCCCCCTTCCTCCACCGGGAGGCATGTGTGCTCCACCCCCTCCCCCCGGGGCTCTGGGCTCGCTGCCTCCTCCTCTGCCCATGGGGCTGTACGCTCTGGGCCTGATGCAGGAGAAGCCCCCCAGGAAGGCTCTGGTGGAGCCCCCCAGACCCATGAAGCCCCTCTACTGGACCAGGATCCAGCTCACCACCAAAAAGTAAGGGTGGTGTAGAAGATGATGCTGCAGATTGTTTAGTTTACTGACCATTCAAGCCCAAATCTATTTAACCCTTAAAGGTTTCTGTACCCTGGGGGATACAGTCGAATATAGAATGGGAGTACTGAAAGTGTAATACAGTTGAAATATGGGTGTAATGTGAGACTCATAATAGGTGAAATAATAATTTAACATGGGTAAAATATGGGTGTCATCGCAGTGTAACATGGGTGTAATAGAAGTGTGTTAGTGTGTAATATGGGTATAATTATGGAGTGATGTTGGTATAATATGTAAGGGATAATGTGCAGCGAGGCGGTCATTATGGGTAAAAGAAAACTCGACAGGCTGATCAGGAGCCCGACGCGAAGCGGAGGGATCTTGATCAAAAACATATATGTGAAGTGAAATGATTAATTAGAGTTCAGTACAGCCTTTAGCCACTTAAAAGTTAAAGTTGTAATACATTCCATGTACAAAGCTAATTTCAAGCTACACTATAAAACTGCCTACTCTATAGTAGGCAGTTTTATACTGTAGCTTTGAGGGATCATACATTTGCACTGCAAAGTATGTATGTATGTTTTTATATATGTATGTGCTTTCCTAAATTATAAACATCTTTCATATATCATCAAACTTTTGACACATCATGATTCTTATTATCTTAGTAAACCTACACATTTAATAATTCCAATCGATGCAAAACTGCAACACCTTTTTAAGGCCAGTTAAACTATGTGTTAATATTTACTGTTAAAAAAAGGACAATATATAAGTGCTCTTCTGTGTTTCTCAGGGAGGTTTCTTCTTCGTTGGTGTGGGACACAATCGATGAGCCTGAAATGGACTTTGAGGAGTTTGTAGATTTGTTCTCCAAAACAGCCGTGAAGGAGAAGAAGCAGCCGCTCTCTGACACCATCACCAAGTCCAAGGCCAAACAGGTGTGTGAGCTCACCTGGGTTACACATTGGGCATGTAGCTCAGATTTGTATTGTATTTCTTAAAATGAAAAAGTGATATATGGCTTATTATCTATTTTATTAATGTCACATTGAATCTTACTTTTATTCTGTAAAAAAAGTTTGATGATATATGAAAGATGTATAATTTAGGAAAGCACATACAAAAACATACATACTTTGCAGTGCAAATGTATGGTCCCTCCCACTAAGCCTACCTTTCAGTCTTTTGTTGTCATTAATTGTGAATATTATTCATATTTTTCAGGTTATGAAGCTCCTGAACAATAAGCGTTCCCAGGCAGTAGGGATCCTCATGTCCTCCCTGCATCTTGATATGAAAGATATCCAGCATGGTGAGTTCATAACACTTGAGAACGCTTGATATCAATAATTCTAATTCCACATGGAATATTATAAAACAGGTGTATGCCACACTGAGGAAAGGATCGCCTAGTCATTTAGCCACAAATTCCGCTGTCAGAGACTAGTTTACCTAATTGAGAGAATTTATGTTCTCAAGGAAAACCTCGCTAAAATATTCCTACCATATCTGTATAAATATTTTTGGGGAAAATATTCATTTAGGTTTGAGTATGAAGTATACTCCAAAACACACATTTATTTGTGTTGCTCTGTGCTTTGAGCCAGTTTATAATTTTGAACCTTTGCTGGTATAAAGTATTATATTATTTTTGTGTGTCTTTCTTCCTGTCCTAAAGCCATCCTGAACTTGGACAACACCGTAGTTGACCTGGAGACCCTGCAGGCGTTGTATGAAAATGTGAGTCACACACTTTATCTCACTTGTCTGTAATATAATCTGAATCACTCCAGGGGTCCAGTTGTGACTCCTGGTCTGCGCTGGGAAATCTGAGCATTTGAGTCCTGGTTATACATTGTTCAGAGGTTGTTTATGCTAATACAGTCCTTTAGCACTTATGTAATAAAACCTGTAGGGCATAAATCAGTCCAATTTGAACACAGGGATATATCTTTGATTAAATATGATTGAACATGCTGTCTGTATTTTATGTAATGGGAGGGACTTTGAATTGTCAGACTCTGAAGCTCATCTGTTCTGTTGGGTGGTATGACATGGTGGTCTCTTGTGTCTCTCCCTCAGAGGGCACAACAGGATGAGCTGGACAAGATAGAAAAGCACATCAAGTCGTCAAAAGACAAGGAGAACGCCAAACCCCTGGACAAACCTGAGCAGTGAGTTTTTCTACTACTTCTACTGTACACAATGATCAGACGTAGTGCCAGGCTGTGTATCATTCTGTAAACAGTGTCAAACAACAGGAGGGAATAAAGAGTAGAGAGATGGTGAAGAAGACATGAGTGTGATCGGTGTTTCCTCGTGTGTTGCAGGTTCCTCCACCAGCTCTCTCTGATCCCAAACTTCTCCTCCAGAGTCTTCTGCATCATCTTCCAGTCTAGCTTCCACGAGTGCATGTCGTCCATAACGAAGAAACTGGACACTCTGCAGAGAGTATGCCTGGTGAGTCAATCTCTCCAAAGTAATGAAATATAGTATCTCAATGTCTGCATAAAGCCTACACACTTAGAATGTTTTCAGCCAATAAACGGCCAATATCAGTTGTCATTGGGAGAATCAATTTGTGGCTCAACGCTAACTCCTAACTAGCTTGGTAGGTCGTTATCATATGTATGTGACTGAGTTCATGTAAGAAACAGACATATTTTAACTGTGATTTTATTTTCCTAAACGTTGCCTGGATCAGTCTGATATTTTGAAATAAACCTACTAACGCCTCCCTGATTAACATGTTGTTTTAATTAAACCAAATTAAATGTATTCTTATTTTCAGTGTTCAGACAAAAGACATTTGGTTTAAAGAAAATGTACCTGCTGTAACTATTTCTATATATATATATATAGAAATGTTATTCATTGGGATAAACCCCTTGAGATGCACCATCTCGTTTTCAAGGGGGTCCCGTCAATAGCAACAACTTACATAAACAAAAAGACAAAATGCAAAACATGACACACAAGACAAACCACATACAGTCTGTTAAGTACAATTCAAGCAATGCATACAATCATTACAATTTGAGACAGTCAAGCAAATCAGTTTCATCAATATCAGTTATAACAAGTACAGACCAGTTGAAAGTGAGATAACAATGCATGTTTAAACAAACCCAATGATGCAAGAGATCTAATAGCAGCAGGTCAAGTATTCCAGTCAGTTGGGGCTTTAAACATGAACGCTCTTCTGCCAATCCATTTTTTTGCAGAGGGGACAGAGAAATAGATAGATAGATAGATAGATTCAACTTATTGTCATTACACAGTACAGGTACCATGTAACGAAATGGTTTCTCTGCATTTGACCCATCCTAGTGTTAGGAGCAGTGGGCTGCCATTATGTACGGTGCCCGGGGAGCAGTGTAGGGAACGGTGCCTTGCTCAGGGACACCTCGGTAGCACTTGGTCTTTCCGGGACTTGAACTGGTGACCTTCCAGTTGCCAAGCCAACAAATAAATCTGTGTAGGAGTGTAGGAATACTATGTAAAAGTCCTGCATTCAAAATGTTACTCAAGTAAAAGTAGAAAAATATAGTGAAAGTAGCGACAGTAAAAGTAGTCATTGTGCAGATTGGTCCATTTCAGAATAATATATATGATATAATAATAATAATAATGGATTTATTTTGTTGGCGCTTTTACAGGTGCTCAAAGACGCTTTACAGATATAGTGAAGGGAAAATAAAGGAACAACAAATATATCGTTAAAGTTAAAGTCAAATAATACAAAAACAATCACACATTAAAAGCCAGATTGAAGAGGTGAGTGTTTGTGAGTTTTTTGAAGGTGGTGAGGTCAGTGCAGTCTCTGATGGGTTGGGGGAGTGAGTTCCAGAGGGAGGAGGCAGCGACGGAGAAGGCTCTGTCCCCCCAGGTCCGGTGATTGATGTGGGTGGGGATGGATAGGATGTTGGCTTCTGATGAGCGGAGGCAGCGGGAAGGGGTGTGGTGGTGCAGCAGGTCTGTGAGGTAGGGGGGGGCCTGATTGTTGAGGGCTTTGTGAGTAATGAGGAGGACTTTGAAGTCGATTCTTTGACGGACGGGGAGCCAGTGGAGGTTCTGGAGGACAGGAGTGATGTGGTCTCGGGAGCGGGTGTGGGTGAGGAGGCGGGCAGCAGAGTTCTGGATATGTTGGAGTTTATTGAGGAGGTTGGATGGTATGCCGTAGACGTAGAGGATGCTATTGCAGTAGTCGAGTCGTGAAGTGATGAATGCATGAATCAGGGTTTCAGCAGTCTAGGAGGAGAGTGATGGGCGGAGACGGGCAATGTTTTTGAGGTGGAACAAGGCGGTCCTGGTGATGTGATGGTTGAATTTGAGCTGACTGTCGAAGATGACTCCGAGGTTGCGGATGTGAGGGGGGGGAGGGGGTAGAGTGTTGCTGTCAATGGTGAAGTTGAAATTCTGGATGTCTTTGATACGGGATGGGGGGCCGATGATGATGATGTCTGATTTGGCACTGTTCAGTTGGAGATAGTTTGTTTGCATCCATGCTTTTATTTCTGAGAGACAGTTGGTGAGAGTGGAGTGTGTTGTGGGGGTGATGGTTTTTGTTGAGATATAAAGTTGGATGTCATCGGCGTAGCAGTGAAAATGAAGGTTGTGGCGACTAATTATTTTGCCAAGGGGGAGCATGTAGAGGATGAAGAGGAGGGGGCCAAGCACCGAACCCTGGGGGACGCCTTGGGACAGAAGAGCAGTGGAGGAGGTGCAGTTGTTGATGTTGATAAACTGATGTCTGTCGGTGAGGTAGGATTTCAGCTAGGAGAGTGCAGTGTCAGTGATGTTGAGTGATGATTCGAGGAGGGACAGCAGGATGGTGTGGTTGATGGTGTCAAATGCTGCGGTGAGGTCGAGGAGGATGAGGATGTTCAGGTTGCCGGAGTCAGAGGAGAGGAGGAGGCCGTTTGTGATTTTCAGAAGAGCTGTTTCTGTGCTGTGTTTTGATCGGAAACCGGATTGAAATGGCTCAAAGAGGTCATTGGAGCTGAGGTGGGCTTTAAGTTGTGAGGCAATGACACGTTCAAGTCTTTATGACAGAAAGGGGAGATTTGAGATGGGCCGGAAGTTGGACATGATGTCAGGTGTGAGTCCAGGTCTTTTGAGAATGGGTGTGACAGCAGCCAGTTTGAGAGAGGGGGGAACTGATCCAGATCTGAGGGAGGAGTTAATGATGGTGGCGATGAGTTGGGAGATGGCAGGGAGTCTCTCTTTAACACATTTGGAGGGCATTGGGTCAAGTGTGCAGGTGGAGTTAATTCCAGTCATGAAGTCGGACAGTTGCATGGGGGTCACAGGGGAGAAGTGGGACAGGGGCTGTGAGGTGAAGGGGGGGGAGCCAGGAGGGGAGGTGGGGGGTGCTGATGAGGGTGTCAGATTGCTGTAAATGTTGCTGATTTTGGTTTGATATGTTTTATAATGATTGATCATGAAAGTGTTCTCAAAGCTGGTAAAGGTGCAGCTAGTTTGAATGACTTTGTATACTGCAGGGTAGCTTGTGGATTTACTCCAGGTGGAACTAAAGTCTGATTTAACACTTGATTATATTTCACATCATTCATCCACATCTGTGAAGTAACTAAAGGTATTAAATAAATTAAATGTAGTGGAGTAAAAGTACACCATGTACCTCTGAACTGTAGTGGAGTAGAAGTACAAAGTAGCGTAAAATGGAAATATTCAAGTACAGTTAAAATATCTCAAAATTGTACTTAAGTACAGTATTTCAGTAAATGTATTTAGTTACTTCCCACCTCAAATATTAAACATACAATCCAACAGGGTTATTAGAGAGTTTTAGAGGTGTTAATTGTTATATTTTCTGACTCTGGACAAAGCCAAGCTAGGTATTTGAAGTCTATACTGCACTAACACAGGGAAAGGATATACAACTTCTCATGTGATTTTCAGTCAGGTGTCAGAACCTGGTCTGAGGTCTGTTTGTTCACTCTCCAGCTAAATGCTGCTCACAGTGCCCTCTTTATAAACCTTCTATTTTCATGTTGAGATTAACAATCATTTATTGGGATTTTGAAATGATTTTGAAATGTGCAGGATGACACTTCATGTCCTTCTCCCATCATGTTTGTCTCTGACCCCCCCCCCCCCCCCCCCCCCCCCCCTGTCTGTGCAGGCGCTGCAGGACAGTGAGACGGTGAAGAAGGTTCTCAGTCTGATTCTGGCTTTCGGTAACTTCATGAATGGTGGGAATCGAACCAGAGGTCAAGCTGACGGCTTCACCCTGGACATCCTGCCCAAACTGAAAGATGTGAAGAGCAGCGTGAGTAGAGAGGGAGCCATGTGAAACACACCGACACATCATTACATCTCTCTACATAAGTACAAATATAATTCAATGCTGCCATGATCAGTGGAAAGTCTGTGCGTGACCCCCCTTTTCAATGTGCAGAGGTGTACTCAGAGTACTCAGATCTTGTACCTGAGTAAAAGTAGAAGTACCAGAGTGTAGTATTACTCTGTTACAATTACAAGTCCTGCAATCAAAAGGGTACTCAAGTAAAAGTACAAAAGTATTGGCATCAAAATATACTTTAAGGACTATCTAAGTAAGTATAAGTACTTATTCTGCTAATGTCCCTTTTTTTAATCATATATTAAATACCCGCATTTTGTTATTGCTGCATTAATGTGTTCATCACAGCTGGTAAAGTGGAGGTCATTTAATTACTGTATATACTGCTGCTGGATACTTTAACCTCTAATTATGTTTCATAGTTTATTTATATTTTGTATCAAATCAACTCAAGTTTAATTTATATAGCACATTTAAAAGCGATTTTGGTCGAGCCAAAGTGCTGTACATGTAATAAAAACACATTACTACAATCACAATAAAAGACAATCATTTACAACAGAAATATAAAAAACAAAAACACAGGGTCAGGTGTCATGCTCCGCTCTGACTAGAAGGCCAGGGAGAAGAAGTGTGCCTTTAGTGAGGATTTAAAAACCCCTAGGGTCTGGGCCGACCTCACATGGAGGGGCAGAGTGTTCCAGAGCCTGGGGCCAGCTGCTGCGAAGGCTCGGTGCCCTCTGGTTTTGAGCCTGGTCTTGGGCACTATCAACAGCAGCTGATCAGCAGACCTTAAGGCTCTGCCTGGGGTGTCGCGATGGAGGAGTTCTGCTAATAGGCCGGAGCCAGCCCATTTAGGGCTTTAAAAACAAATAAAAGGATTTTAAAATCAATTCTTAACCGAATTGGAAGCCAGAATTGGGGTGATGTGGTCATGCTTTTTGTGGCCAGTCAGAAGACGTGCAGCTGCGTTCTGCACTAGCTGCAGGCGTCTAATTGAGGCCTGGTCCATACCCACATACAGAGCATTGCAGTAATCCAGTCTCGAGGTGACAAAGGTATTAATAACCCTTTCTAGGTCTTTAAAAGATAAAAACGACTTGGTCTTGGCCAATAGTCTTATTTAAAAAAAGCAGGATTTGACTACGGTGCTGAGGTCAGCACCGTAGTCAAATCCTCGCTTGTCAAATTTAAAAGGGCTACTGAAGGTCACTCCAAGGTTCATGACAGAGGGGAGGATGTTTTCATTGAGAGCCCAGAATATCAACCGGAGAGGCTGGAGGTTGGGGTCCAAAAAAGATGATCTCTGTCTTGCTCTCGTTGAGGTTGAGGACGTTTTTGCTCAGCCAGGATTTGATCTCTATCAAGCAGTCCATCAACTGCTGTAGTGAGTGTTTGACAGTTGCTTTGAGAGGCAGATAGATCTGTACATCGTCGGCGTAGCAGTGGAAGGGAATATTGTGTTTAGTGAGAATTGAACCTAGGGGCAGTATGTACAGTAGAAAAAGGATGGGGCCCAGAATCGAGCCTTGGGGAACCCCACAGGTAAGAGGGGCTTTAGCAGAGGAGAAGGCACCTAGCTGCACGGAGAAGCTACGGTCTGTCAGGTAGGACCTGAACCATGCAAGGGCAGAGCCTGTGATGCCTGCGGACTGTTCAAGCCGTGACAACAGGATGCTATGGTCCACAGTGTCGAAGACAGCTGTCAGGTCTAACAGCACCAGGACAGCTTGGGTACCTGAGTCGGCGGCTAGGAGCAGATCATTAAAAACTCTTAAAAGGGCTGTTTCAGTGCTGTGCATGGGTTTGAAGCCAGACTGAAACTTTTCATGGATGTTAAGAACGACTGCAGCTGGACAACAGGCGCATTCACACCGCAGTACTTTTCCCACAAAGGTTAATCAGAACTTAGTTCATGAGAACTCTTTAGTTCTCATGAACTAAGTACAGATCGCGTTCACACCGGAATAAGTTCCTGGGGAAGGATTAGGCAAATTAAGTCACTTGTTCTTCTTCTGCTTTGGGTTTACTGGCAGGCCGCAAACAACTTCACGGTGTATACTGCCACCCGGAGTCCCCGGAGTTGGGGACTGGCTTCAGTAGAAGCTGCTGGGAGTCCCAGCAGCTTCTACTGAAGCCTTCCGAGTAAATCGCCAGAACGCCGACACCTCCTCATCTCCACCGCTCCCATGTTTTATTTTGTGTTGCCATAAGTTAGTCTCTCTGCGTTTGTGCGCTGGGCTAATGCTAATGCTAATAATGCTAATGCGAGGATAATAAAATGGCGGGTCCACAAAACTTTTTAGGAGTTTTAAGGGGCGTGGTTTGCAATCCGCCCAGCCAATCAGACATAGGAACCTTTTTCTCCCACGAAAGTACCTGCTCTGCAGGGACGGAAAAGGGGGTAAAAAAGGTTCTGATGAACTAACTTTAGTTCTGGCTCTTTTTGGTGTGAACGCGACATTTCGGAACTATATCCAAACTAAAGTGGGAAAAGTACTGCGGTGTGAACGCAGCTATAGACTACTCGCTCCAGGGCTTTAGATAAAAAAGGTAGCTGGGAAATGGGCCTAAAATTTGCTAGAATGGAGGAGTCGAGATTTATTACTTTTAAGTAGTGGCTTGACCACGGCATGTTTGAAGGCAGCTGGGATACATCCTGAGCCAAGAGAGGTGTTTATTAGTAATAAAACACTTGCTCCAACTGATTCGAAAACATCTCTGAGAAGGCGAGAGGGAATGCTGTCTAAGGTGCAGTTTGTCGGCCGCAGGTGCTTGACTACATCCGAGAGAGAAGAGAGGGATACAGGCTCAAAGTGGTCGAGGACAGCAGGGCACAGAAAGGGAGCAGGATCTGGGGTAGCACTAGTGTGCAGATACTTTTTCGATAAAAAATGTAAGAAATGTATCGCAGAGAGTAGTTGATGGCACAATTGAAGAAACATCACAGGGATTAATAATAGAGTTGAGGACATTAAAAAGAACCTGAGGTTTATGGCTGTTTTTAGAGATTAACAGAGAAATGTGCTCTGTTTTGGCTGCTTTGACTGCCGTCTGATAATCGGAAAGGCAAGCGCGAAGAATTTCTAGGGAGACATGGAGTTTATCCTTTTTCCATTTTCTCTCTGCACGCCTGCAAGCGCGTCTGAGAGCGTGAGTACAATCATTGAGCCACGGCTCTGAGAGAACTTTGGTGCGTCTAAGCGTAAAAGGAGCAACAGAATCCAGTATTAGTGTGCATGTCGAATCAAACAAAGAGATAAGCTCATCCGCACTAAGAGCACAGTTCACCTCTAATTTACAGATCAGGGAAGCATTAAAAACATCAGAAAACTGTGAGGCAGTCCAGGGGTTAATTGAACACAGAAGACGCGCAGGGGCACGTGACTCGACTCCCGCAGAAGGGATCGAAGTTGTAAACAGAACCGGTAAATGGTCTGAGATACGCGTTGCTGCACAGATTTCATCCACAGAGACAGACAGTCCAAACGTATTATCTTATTATGTGAATATGTAAAGTAATAGGAAACTAGTTATGTTAAATAAATGTAGTGGAGTGAAAAGTACAATATTGGCTTCCAAATTGTAGTGAAGTAGAAGTATAAGTAGCATCAAATAGAAATACTCAAGCCAAGTACAAATACCCCAAAATCAAACTTAAGATACAGTACTTGAGTAAATGTATTACATTACACCACTATAAATGCGCTTCAGTTACCACTAACCCTCCGACCTCCCTCACCTGTAGAGCTACAGAAAGTCACCTGACGTCTCCACTCCTGTTAATGATCCACTCGTATATTTTCTCTGCAGGACGGTACGAAAAGTCTTCTGTCTTACATTGTTGCATACTACCTCAGACACTTCGATGAGGTAAGCTTTTAGCGATTATACTCCCTGCCATACTGTTAATTTCTATTTTCTAGCTTTGTCCACTGCCTATTTTGTCCCTAATTTTCACATATTTCTGACCTTCTGTATGCAACACACACCACATTTCCGCATCTCTTGGAAATATGTACTTCAAACAGTATCAGACAATAATTACTACCTGCTGTCTGTCCCTCTCAGGACGCTGGCAGAGAGACGTGTGTGTACCCCCTCCCAGAGCCTCACGACCTGTTCCAGTCTTCACAGATGAAGTTTGAAGACTTTCAGAAAGACCTGACTCGACTCAGGAAGGACCTGAGAGGTAACAAACACAAACACACACACACACACACTTCAGGGGACATTACATTACTTACATGCATTTCCTGGAGACTTATCCTAACCTTAACCATAACCAACACATCCCTAACCCTAACCCATTTTACATATTTGTTTGATATTTTAGATATTTTAAATATTTAGTTTCATGTGATTTTTGTTAATAGTACTTGTTTTTAAAAGCACTTATTCTATTAAGCACTTTTATATATGTATTTATAATTTTTTCACACTAATTTTACCTGCATGCCGATTTTAAACAAAGTCAACCTCGGTACTTTTAGCCAGATGTTTTTAAACCACTTACCAGGTCTTTTACCAGATGTTGTGGGACACAGCCTCAGACACCCCACCGGGGTACAGGAGTACAGGTTTTAACCCTGCCGCATACACTCTGTGCTTCAGCCGCTGCTCTCTTTTATCCCTTTTATTGTATTTTCTTAAACATTTTTTAACACAGACCAAACAGGGCTTTTATAAACTTTTTTTGGTTTTCCTACAGGAGTTTTTAAATAGGTTTACCCGAAAGCCCGTGCACCACGTGCACCTACGGAGCGCCGCACGTTCCCTAGTACCCTAACCAAGTCTTCACCCTAACATTAATGATTCCCCTTATGGGGACCTCCCTTATGTCCCTATAAGGGAGGCGAGTCCCCACACGTGACTGCGTAAACTGATTTAGGTCCCCACAAGGATAGTAATGCTTGGAGACATACACACACACACACACACACACACACACACACAACTTGACTTTATGTGATATTTGTTTCTGCATTTTTTAATCAGCGTGCACATCAGAAGTGGAGAAGGTGTGCAAAGTTTCAGACGAGGACAACTTGCAGCCTTTTAAAGACAAGATGGAGGAGTTCCTTGCACAAGGTGACTAACAACACGTTTATTTTTAGGAACATTGAACATGCTTGCATTGAACTTCATTTAGGGTTTTTTATTGAGCAACAATGTTCTTGTATGATAAAACATTAAGACAAAAACCATAAGCTATTAAAAACTGATTTTGTTCTGACCTTCTGAATGTTCCCTCCTTTCTCAGCTAAGAGTGAACTGGAGACCCTAGAAGCTCAACTCAGCAGCACTCACAAACTGTAAGAAAGCACTTTTCACACTAAACTAACTTCTGTGTTTTATTTCAACTGTTCTCCGCACTCTGTTTGTACCAGTGATACTGAGGAGAGCTGTAAATAATACACTTCATCCTCATTATGTTTAGCAGCAGAAAGTATAACTCAGGTCTTGATCATTCATTACAGATGTCTAAAAACAAAGGTCAAAAGGGAAGGCTTGATTAGAACAGGATATGGCTGGGAATGTAGTTTGTATTTACAGTTTACTATTGTAGCTCATGCCAGTCAGTGCACTCGCTGTACGATCACATGTGTTGGAAGGTGGCCATGATTTGTTCTTGTTACAGAAGAGCCTCTACACATAGCACAAGGCATCTGCTGCAAATATTATAAAAGATGTTGTAAATATATGTAAAAAATACATTTTAAAAAGAGGCCTAGAATTCAATGTAAACTGTCCACAGAAGACACGTTTAACTAACCGAAGAGTGAGCATCGTTCCCTGTTAACAGCACAGCTCTGAGGCCTTCTTATCAGTGCCATCCTCACTGCAAGGCTTCTGCTTTCTGCTGCTACTAGGCAACAGTTTCACCTGCTTGAAGGATAGTGGGCTACAATTATTAATACGTCCAGAAAGATAGTTACAGCACTAAATGTACATTATAGAGTGCATTGCCCTGGAAAGAAGCTGTATTCATTACTATGAATGCAAGTTTCACTTTTCCTAACAGCTCAACTTATATTGGGGTAATCATTTGAAAATAAAGAGGTAATAATTAAGTAATTCCATGACACCAAAGCAATATCTGGTTAATAGTATTATTGATGGGTATGTCTGGATATTGTGAGACTGACATGTATGTAACAGCTTCCAAATGCTAATCTTCCTGTTTCTATTTATTTTCTTGTAAATATTAACCAGTTTAGCCCTAAGCCTGTTTTTCCAACACACTCTCACTCCCTAAGCGTCCAGGAGCGACGTTTGGTCAGTGTCCGTGGCGTGCAGTTGTGACGCTCCTAGGCTCCTTCAGCGTCATAAAGGGACGCAAATAGCTTTCAACTGATTGCAATGTATTCCCATCTGCGGTGGGATTTGACGCTCATGGAAGCACGGCATTCGTTTGTGTCGGCTGCCCTTAAAGGCAATGTGAGCGTCCATTCTCATTGGATAACGGAGAATTGTACACCCGGAAGTAAGCATTCCCCTTACTGTCGATTGATTTTACAGTGATATCTGCACTACTCATCGACTAAAAAACACCAGATTATCCTTGTTAATTACACAACATTGATTGGTTTAAATTGTGTGCAATGCTTTTGTATTTTTCCCCTTCGATTCGGAGAAACAAAGATTTTTTTCGGAGTAAAGGATGGCAGAAGACACTACACTACCCAGAATCCCCAGCTATCGTTTGGACTACACCATGTGCTCTGTTTGACAAACCCCATTTTTTTTTCACCATTCATTCCAATGGCTGGCGTCTATGTCACGTGATCTTCAAATTTCTCCCTGCAGAAAAAAAAACATGGCCGAACTTCGTTTTATTCTCGGTGGAAAATGCCTATTTTAAAGTTAGTTTGGCCATTAAAATGCGTTTTGATGTCATTTGATGCGAGAAATATGAGTTGTTATTTCAGATTATGTGTGCAGTGGATGTCCATGATCTTTAGTTTACTAGTTATTACGAAGATTACTTCAGGAAATCGCGATGTTTTCATTGTTACCAAGGTGGTTGCTAGGGACGCTGCTATCGATATTATTTCTGTTATGTTGTGTAACTGTTTAATGGTGTTATCTTTATTGCTACCCCCTTCCCCGTCAATGTATAGAGTTGGTCCACAGCGCAAACATATTAGTTTAACAAAATCCGCATCTAAAGATAGCCTACGTTATTTCCCCCTGTGCAATTCCAGTCTCACATCTCACAGCACATCGTCATTAACAAATACCGGAAACAGACCGAAAACATTTACAAATAATAAAATAATACTTTATTTCAAGTGTGCTTGCTTTTCTCTTTGAAAGTCATCACATAACGGCATTGTAATACACGGTTCGGCTGCATTAAATATTACATATCTGCCGTAGTTCTGTATTTATAGAGCCCTGATGAGAAGACTTCTAGACAAACATGAGGAACTGAAAACGTGACGTGGATCATAAATATATCAGCCATTAAACAACATCTTACATTTCTTTTCACACAATACGTCTCCTTGCAGTATCAACACTAATTCGGCTGACTTTTATATTTGATCCAATTGGTAGATAGGCTGTATTTACACCATAAAGGTGCACAGCTGATATAAAGGGACACCTAGTGGTTAAAGCATGTTATTGAAATTCATTATTTTTATTATTAGATATTAATAGGATCCCTATAAAGTATATTCATTACTCGTTATTCTCTACTAATAGTTAATTAAAGACTGTATATAATGACTATTTTGCACATCCCTTTCAAGATTTCAAGATTTTCTAAGGTTTATTGACATATCATATAGGCCTACACAACTATGGTGTAGTTCTGCATTGAATGAAAAACTTGGGTCACAGGTTCCTCAATAGTGCATTACAAGACATCTATCAATATGTGTGCATACCTCCAGCAATGTTAACTATGTTGAAGCACTTATTTTAACTGATATTATACATAATGTATTATACTCTTATAAGATGTATGTAGATATTTCATCTCCGGCCTTGTCAGGTATTGAACAATCAATAAATAAAGAACACAGAATTGTTAAATATAAAACACAGAATTTGTGTGATTATACTAAATGATTTACAAATAAACACCACTGCATATTTACAACTGTTACACATGCTGATGTAACGCAAATGTTCCAACTTGGGATCAATAAAGTATATCTTATCTTAAGCTGATCGATGGCTACTGCCATATTTGAAAAATTTGCCTCTGAACCTTGACAAGTGCATGTTTCAGGCTTATCAGTTAATGTAATGTAATGTTATCAATTAACAACAGGGGTCACAAACATAAGACCAGCTGTTAAATAAAGCTCTTCTGACCTTAGCTGGCATGTGTGTATATATATTAATGCTGCCCATTATGGGCACAAGCTATTTTCACCCATTTATTAATTATATGTTTTAAATTTGAGTGTTTCCTATCCCCTAAACCTCCAGGGATGTACACAGTTTAATACTGGCAACTTCTTATTATGGGAAATACGAAAACGTCTTTTAAAACTACAACTCCCAGTAGAGACGTGCGGCACGTGCCATAGATAGAGAACATGTTGCGAAACAGAATAGCCAGCATGTGTAGTTCTGGGGACGGGGTGGGGGGGGGGGGGGGCGCGGTGGACCCGTTCAAATCCAGTTTTGGACAGTCTGCCTTGGTTCCATCCCATTTCAAGTGCTGTTCGAGAATCGGCGTAACCCTCGGAGCACACTCACCAATCACAGAGCTTGAGGACTATCACGGGGTTTGTCAAACAGAGCACATGGTGTAGTCCAAACGATAGCTAGGGATTCTGGGTAGTGTAGTGTCTTCTGCCATCCTTTACTCAGAAAAAATATTTGTTTCTCCGAATCGAAGGGGAAAAATACAAAAGCATTGCACACAATTTAAACCAATCAATGTTGTGTAATTAACAAGGATAATCTGGTGTTTTTTAGTCGATGAGTAGTGCAGATATCACTGTAAAATCAATCGACAGTAAGAGGAATACTTACTTCCGGGTGTACAATTCTCCGTTATCCAATGGGAATGGACGCTCACATTACCTTTAAGGGCAGCCGACACAAACGAATGCCGTGCTTCCATGAGCGTCAAATCCCGCCGCAGATGGGAATACATTGCAATCAGTTGAAAGCTATTTGCGTCCCTTTATGACGCTGAAGGAGCCTAGGAGCGTCACAACTGCACGCCACGGACACTGACCAAACGTCGCTCCTGGACGCTTAGGGAGTGAGAGTATGTTGGTTTTTCAGGTCTCGGGCTCGAAAATGACATTCCCAGAACAAATGACCATATCTTCCCTTCTAAAAGGGTTAAATTAATAATCTTTTTTCTCAAAGTAATGATAAACCTGTGAGTTGGATGTAGAGGAGTCAGAATCAATATAGATGTTTTTTATTTTAAAGAAAATTCAGATTGAACATAGTAAAAAACTGTAAATTATAGTGTCCGTCCAAAGAATTATTTTGTACTTATAGAGAAAACTATCCTTGGATGATGGTAAGTGTTACGTTCCCTTCTAAATCTAGGGGGTACAAAGGGAAGTAACAACACACAAGGATGACCAAGCACGACAAAAGGAGAGAAAACCGATCTCTGAGTAATGAACAAGTCGTTTAATGAACACAACAGGAACACGGGCTCACCAGCCAACTTGCACAGAATAATACAGCATCAATATATATCACGGAGCTCCCCTCCTATCAATCGGCAAGACACAGGTCTGCACACATGCAGCCAGAGGAGGAAAAAAGGAGAGACCACTGCAGTCTTCCTCCGGTCCTATATGGAGGCCCTGATTAGGAATTAGGAACACCTGGGGACAATCAGGCTGCACCTGGGGACAATCAGGCTGCACCTGGGGAGTCAGAGGGAGAGAGAGAAAAACACACACACGACCACACAAACACTACGGCACGTAACAGTAAGGTAGACTAAAAGCTTTAGGAATCCAAAGTACAACATATAATAAGTACCCTGTATCAAGATTGATGCAAAACAAGTGACATTTTACCTTTTTAGACAGATTTAGCAAAAAAGCTCCACCTCTGAGGTAATTTGGGTGTAAATGGGGGTTTTACCGTTTCTCTGGAACCCATTGGTCGATTTTGGTGATTGACATCTCTTTCTGACCGTTAGAGCCAATAGAATCGAAGGGGAATCTCCCCACTCACACACATGGTAAAACAAAAAGGTGGGGGCTTCGCGGACGCAGTTTTGCATGAGAGTGAAGCTATAGAGCTATAGCTCTAGCTCTGACATCTGGAAACCGAAAAGCAGGATTATTGCTCATGGATTATCAGAAATCATTTCAAATGGACACAGACACATTGGATTAACCTATGGATTAACTTCAGCATCGTTTTTATCGTTTTAATGCCATTGAAGACCACTTTTGACCAGACTACGACACAGGTGAGCCATGTTAGCGTTTTTAGCTACCTAGCGCCATATGTTTTGATGTCTGTTCTTGTTATTACCTCCGCGAGTTCGTATAATCAGTACTCAAGTTGTAAAAAAAAATCAGGGGGGATGGTGGATTTTATCATATGGGGACATAATTTGTGCTGATAACCCGTCGAGGGTGGGAGACCAACCAGCATAAAGATAATTATTATACTCCTAAAACAACATGCATGTTATGGATGTTGTTAACTGTGTTCTTATTCTCAGCGTCCAGGAAAGAGAAGCTTAAAAAGGAGACTAAATGGAGTCTCTGGAGGTTCAAAATTGGTACTTGAATTAATAAAAAAGGCGCGGTAAAGTCACAAACAGGAGAGAAAGTCTGCAGCTTCCTCTCCCAAGTGCTGGCCGTGCAGAAGAGAGCTTACAAGCATTCGTCCTTCCCGCTTGCTCGCTGTTCGCTCCTCCTCTCTGTGAGCTGTAGTGACGTAGGAGACTTCCCCCCTCGTTCTCCTGTGCCCGATATCGCGTTAAACAGAGGATTTCGACATTTTACATTCATTGCTTATTTCCACATGCCTTTTCTCCTCCTTATCTCTTTCATAACTTTATATGTAATACATGTTAACGGTGTCAATGGCCACTTTAATGATACTAATGGGCGGTAGTCCCGGATGTCGTCATGAAGGATTTTCAGAATAAAAGCTTAACAACTGGTTGTGCACAAGAACTTCTGGTTTTTCAGTATAAAACAGCATTTAAACTGACGGTATGTTTAAGGTACATTATGCTATCAAAACATTGATTTTAATTTCTAACAATGTTCAGATACTCCTGTCATTGCTCTTGACCAAGGCACCTCAGAATTAGAGTCGGTCCCCGGGCTGCCATGGCACCACTAACATTTAGGGTCAAATGTAGAGGACAATTAGTGCAAAATATTTTTTTCACTTTAATTTAAAGGGGGGGAGGGGATACAAAAATGTGGTTATAATGGAAGTCTATGGTACAAATATTGTAGGTTAACAGTCCCTCATTTATTATTCAGATGGATCAACTGATTATACTAATAATAAAGTCAAAATAGTTTTTAGAATATTGAATTATAGTGTATTTTTTCAAAAAAGCAGTTACTGGTATACGATCAAAACTGGTATCTAAAGGGTTACATTTGTATCGTAATTAATGAAATCATTATGTAAATTAAACACTTCATGAAAAATGTGAGGAAAATAATTAGAAAAATATTGATCCATCATCATTTTATTGCAGTTCAAATACAAATATTTTATGTTAACATTCCCAATGTTACTTTTTTTAACAGGGCATTAAGTGCAAATTGAAATTGTTTACAAAATATGAAAATATATTAAAAGATTATACAGATAATACAAAATAGGACCAATGTTGTCAATGGCTGCCTACTCCACTCTCCCCCATCTCATAGAAGTTTCCAAAGATTTTCATAATCATGCTTTTTGGTCTCAAATGTTCTGCTCTTGCTTTCGGATTGTTAGCTAAGCAATGGCTTTGAAGCCAAGTCTTGACATATACCTCTGGTCTGAACTTGTTCAGTGGAGGGCCAACACACTTGATGAAAAGCAAGGCTGACATGCTTTTGACCTCTAGGGAGCTTCTAGTTGTGGTTAAAATGTTCATCCGACTAAACCCACGTTCACACTCAGCTGTGGAGATGACCAGAGTGTTCACTGCTTGAAGGAGGGGTTTCAGCTCTTCTGGGGCTGGTGGTATCATTTCATCAACAGTTTTGAGTCTTACCAGCTAGCTAACACGAGAGAAACACGTAGCTAAACTCCAAACTAAGTTGTTATTGCTGCTTATGTCCATAGATTCCACCTTTGGTGACTAAAGTAATGACTAAGATTACTGACTCTTGACTTACCTGAAATGTTATTTTTAGTATTTTTAAATATGAAGTCCCTCAGATCGCGTTGTCCTCCTGGTCGCTTGGCCATTGTGATGACCGTTACCTGCGCTTCTGGCATCGATCAAACAGGCGCACTCGCATAGTATAGCGTCAGTGACTTGGTAAAAATGTCATTGCGTGTGTGCGTGCTCCCTCGCCCACAGTATTTTACTCAAAATGCGCAAAATTAATGTTGAAATAGCAGTAATACCAGTGCCACGTTCATTGATAAAATTACATAAGGGATGGAAAGCATTGTGGGTTTCTTTTTGATTTTTTTTTTTAAATGATCAGTTAGATGAGTTTCTTCCCGTTACATGGATATAAAACATTCATAGTTTATTAAATGAACATGCCCTCAGACACTGTTTTCTGCAAGATGTTGTGGCAGTGCCCCGGTACCGGGGTCTCTTGGGCTTAACAGGTTAAGGTTCAAGGTTAGTTTATTTGTATAGCACATTTTAATACACAGAGGCAATTCAAAGTGCTTCACTTAATACTTTTTAAAACAAACACACAAACAAAAACATAAACAACTATTAATAAAAGCGATAAATTAATGGTTGCAGCTAAAAGTGCAATGATAAGGCACGGTTAAAGGATCCCAGAATAGGCTGCATCAAAAGAAAGGTTTTTATTTATTTTCTATTTTTTTGTAAATATATGTATTTCTTTTCTCAGTTTTTCTACAAGTGATACAGAGCATGTACATTTGGTTCCAATTCAAGTAAAGATATATACACACATGTTGACAAATCAAAATCTCCATTTCAATTCCACCACCAACCCACCCACCACCCATTAACCCATTGAGTTACAGGAGTACTTTAACAATAAATACAGTATTGTTTATTAATGTAATGAGTGCAAGGGGGCTGAGAAACATAAAGGGGAAAAACATACATAAAAAAAGGGGGGAACAGAGGGACACCAGCAGAACAGTATCAGCCGGATGATGTGCAGGCAAACGAACCAGAGGACAGCAGGGCCGGTCAGGGAGCAGGCGAGGCAGGATAGTCCAAGGACAGGCAGGATCAGGGATCAGGCAGAGCAGGCAGGTCGGGGACAGGCAGGGTCGGAACCGGGTAGGCAATCTGATGAGAAACGCGTGAAAGACTGGCATGAAGGCAAAGTACGATCTGGCAACAGGTGTGTGTCTGGTGAGGGTTTAAATACTGGCAGTGAAACTAATGGGTGCCGTAGAGAAAGAGAGTGAGCTAAAACGTAGGTGTGGTTAACAGGTGAGACAGGTGAATGGAAAACTACTGGTGAATGATGGAGTAGACTGTGACACCAGGGTTGGGGCGGGTTCCAGGCTTGTGGTGCATAAAAGCTAAAAGCTGCCTCAGCAAATGTAGTTCTGACTCTGGGGACAACGAGTAAACCCTCCTGATGATATGAGAGCTCTGTTTGGCTCATAGCAGCATCTCTGACATGTAAGTGCTTTGTATGTTGAAATTAAGATTTTGAAGTGTATCCTTTGTGTAATAGGAAGCCAGTGCAGATTTTTGAGAACTGGAGTGATGTGGTAAATTCTCCTAAATATTAGATTAAAGCCAAACATCAAAAGGGAAACTAATGGTTAAAGTTAGAAAGTAAATTGTGATGGTGTCCTGCAGGTTCCTGGAGCTCACCGTGTTCTTCTCAGTGAAGGCCAAGTCAGGAGAGAAGGAGGTCTCCCCCAACACCCTGTTCTGCGTCTGGCACGAGTTCTCCTCCGACTTCAAGGATCAGTGGAAGAAAGAGAACAAAGTCATCCTCAAACAGCGGTCAGTCACGCAGCTTTAAAACTGGCCCATTTCTTCTTTTATTCCTTTCAAGACCAAAATAAAAGTAAAGATATTATGGATCTTAGGCAAATTAAGCTTTGTGTTTTCATATTGTGTGTATTGCAGGTTAAAAGCAGCTGAGGAGTGTTTCCGGCAGGCTAAGGAGAAGTCATCCTACAGCGTCAAACCCAAACACGCCTCTGGCATCGTAAGTTCACCTCTCAGCCTACTTCAAGTGGCAACCCTGTTTAACTTAAGAGTCGACTAAAGGAAAAAATATATATATTTCCACTGCCTCATAAGTACAGACAACAATATAGCTTTATTATTAAGTCCTCCAGCATTATATAAACACTTAAAGGTGGGGTAGGTAATTCACTTCAGAAACACTTTTTGTTATATTCCATGGAATGCTCTTAACATCCTGATAGCAATGAATATATGAAATGCTTTGACAATAAATACATACAAAAATGTCATCTGTGGAAGCCGAGTGAAATGAGTTCTGATCGCTTCCATCTCCAAAGCACAAAGCAAACATGGTTAAGCTGAATGTTTATTCGCTATCACTTCAAAATTAACACTGATCTCATTTTAAGTTATGTACTTGTTTGCATAGATTTGCACTGCTTATAATACAATTATACACAGGTGTATTGTACTTACCCTCTATTATCCTATGACTTTTTTCACAGAAAGCCAAGCTGGGCATGAAGATTTGACTGAACTTTGGATACTTGTTTTCCTGTGGAGTACCAGACAAAAAAGTACGAAGAGGACGGAAGAGAAACAGTGCCGCTGAGCCTACTCTGGACATCTTATTTCATTGATTCATTTCTTCCAGTTGAGCCAGTTTCACATCAGCTTGATGCCTTATGTTGCTCTCCTGTCCGTCTGTCTGAATTATGGATGGATGCTGCTGCAGGGCCACCAGGCCCCATGTGTTGTTGAGATCACCACAGCTCACAAACAATATACATCTCATACATAACTGTTGGGACTATACGCCTACATTCATACAAATGTCTCACTAGCAGAATGGTAAAGGCAAACAGAGTTCAACACAACCCATGGCATTACTAGCACCCAACAGCATGGCACTTATGTAAATATTAGGGATTCTAACTTCCAACTGTTAAGTATTCAGATCCACCAGGTGTGAAAGCTTCTGTGAACAATACCAGTCAATCGATACGGGAGGTTGACAGTCAAAACTAAAGTGCTACAGGAAAAGTGTTCTGCAGAAACACTGATGGATCTACCCAAGCACAAATATGCACTCAGATCTCATCTCACCACTTTTATGTTTAGTTAATTTAACACACATTGGATTTACTTTCAACACCACATACATTCACCATCTTTGTAAATATACATCAGCATGCAACCGGAAGTTGGATTTTTGGTTTCTTGTTGACCTTGGAAACAGCAGTTAACCAAACAATCTCAACTTTTGGAGTCAACCCACGGGAAAAGTGTGGCCGTTTATAAAGCACTTTATGTTCTGGCTCATCACCTCTAATGCGAGGAGTGAGAGCAAAATCATTTTGTCTTCATTTGTTGTGTAACATTGCTAAACTTTTTTCCACAACTTTGCCAAGATTTCTAAGCTTCTTCATACTTTCATAGTATTTGCATCCAACCTTGAATCTCCATTTATATAAGCACTCTTCTATTCTAAACCTGGCTGTAGACCTATTTCCATTACAAATGGTCATCATACCCCCTTTAATGCATTACACAATTGCAACAAAATGTAGGTAGCCTACAATAGCTTACATTTATTATAATGACCATGACTAAGTCTGACCCATGTTCAGTTGTCAAATCCTCTTAGTCCAAAGCCCTAATATTAAGGTACTCTTCAAAGTATAGGTCCCCATTAGATATCAGCATGATTGTCCATTTGTGATTTTGAGGCTATTTCAGTGAAACAAGGCTGTTTTGAACATTTGCTATGCTTTTTGATGAAACATTTAAAACTAGATTTTGAATCTATTTTAAAGTGAGCCAAGAGTGCCAGTGAATACACGGAACCGGCCAAGCTGGACACCATAGTAATATGCAAATAATACTGTCAACTTCAGAATAAAAACAGTGTAGGTCTAGAAAGGACAGCATCTGGGTAAATCCTTCTTAGTGTCATTACCAGGTGAGACATCATTAGCAGCAGCATTGATGGGCAGGAATAGAATGTCATTGTAAACGTACATGTGTCATTTTAATGTACTGTATGTTAAATGATAAGCCATGTCAAACCACATATACTACGTCAAATATGTGTGTGGGTGGGTGGGTGTGTGTGATATGTACAGTGCATTAAATTACAGTTGGATTCTGTTGCAAAGCTAATGACTATCAATGTAAGGAAATCAATTGTTTAAAAAAAGTAGTGAGACACGTTTTGTGTTTCTTTCAATGATATATTTTTCTGCTGGCCAGCCTGATACTCTCTACAGGACTACGTTTGAACGGTTGTTCATGTGGAATAAATGTTTATACATGTACATAAAGAGGATGCATGGAGCTTGGAAGTGGTGTAATTTATTTAAAATAAAGAGAATGAATTCTTGGTTTTATTCAGAACTTCATTAAAGTGACAGCACTAAGGTGTTTGGAAGGTTGCTGACTCCACTGGGAAATGAATTAGATCACTCCTTCAAGTCTACAGAATTCACAATGCTGCTATGCAAGATCTATTTTTATTATCGACAGTAACAGACTGAAGTGTTTCTCAGAGAGTACAGCTCAAGTCCTGGCATTACTTCCAGGTCTCAGCTCTACCAGATTCTGTTGGACCTAGTAACTGTGAGGCGCCTCTGGGGCATGACGGTAGTTCAAAAACAACTTGAAGCTGTTAAAATAGTTTGGCTTGTTTGTCTCCACAGTGAAGGTGAAAGAGTGGTTGTAATACACAGCTAATTGAGACAGTTAAGAAATGTTAAGACAACTAACAAAGAATTGCATTAAAAATCACAATCCTATAATAACTCCCATAATTCTGTGTTCTTTAAATCTTTGACGCCTCCCAAAGGTCAGGGTTGTTGCAGGGGTACAGTTAAGTCTGGTTATTAATAGTATTTCTACTTAAAATGAATAAAACTATTTAAATCATAAATATGGAGCACAAGAGTTAATGTACTCTCGTAAAATAGGCACAACTACCATATTTGTGATGGAAACTTCTGAAGCAATGGAGACGAGACTCAGAGAGACACGGAGAGAGCTCAAACTTTGATGGCAAACACTGATGGTATATTTGGAGCTTCGGCCAGAGAATTCACAAGACATGTGCTGTGCCACGAGGTGACACAGCTGCTGCCAAACCAATTCTGAAGATCTCTACCCCAGACCCATGTATATAGTTCTGAGAGAATAATCAACATTGTGCGCATAACAAGATAAAGCACTATATAACACCTCTATCAGCTGACGCCAACAGGCAGGAATATGGAGACAAAACACTGAGAGCACAGCAGCCAAGGTTGCAGGCCTGTGCTCAGTGAGGGCAGTACAAACTGATAAACTGGGTCAAAGGTATGGGCCCAGGAAAATATTTCCCCAACAATATCAATATCAGGTTAAAGGACCTTCTTGGAATTCTTGGATACTAAAGTTGGGCAGTAATCACTCTTGAACAATATCAATCAAACCAGCATATTTACTAAACATTTTTTAATTAAATATCAATCTGTGCAGGAAGTCACAAAACCGTGAAATTTGTCAGCATTTTACCACCTCCGGTTCCCTCGTCTGGAAGTCAGTGAGTTATTGAATGTGTTTTTGGTTAGAAGCCTTAAATAAGGTCTGTGTGTAAAAAAAAAAGCTGAAGAGATATTCACATTTTGTTTTACAACAAAATAAATACCCGACTTGTAAATTATGACATGAAGTTTTGTTGTTAACAGTTGGCTAAACGGGACTACAGAGGTTGGTGAGGAGGTGGTCATCATCACACCAATTATTTCACAAAGTTCTTTGTTTTTTTTGCTAACGTTAGCTAAGCTAGCAAATAGCAAAAATGTCCACACAACGGTTTATTACTTTTCTGCAGGACACAAGTGGGCAATGTAAACTGCTCATTCTATCGTTTCCCAATCGATCCCAACCTCTATTATGACTCATTGGTTAAAGTGACAAAATACTTTAAATACACATCTACATGTTGGGCTACAATCCTGCTGGTCTTTGTGACACTTGTGCCCCTCTACCAAAGCAGTTCCAGGGCCAGTTCGGAGCTAGTGCCCGATTAAGCATCGGTTCTTCCTGTTTCCAGCGCAGCGGGGCCAGCTCTTGGCACCGGAAACCGGTTATTTTCTGGCCCCACTCGACTGCCCGTCCAGAAACCAAGAACCAAGTATATCAAGCTTACGTCGGAGCCGAGGGCAGGGGCGCTGAGCAAAGTGACTAAAACGAGATCACAACAGTGAGGCAACACTAACTAGGCAGAGTGTGATGTTGTTTGTTTTTATCTTGCTTTGAATGACCATCCGTTCACTGTTATTTCCCGTTTTGAAGACCAGCACAATGCCTCATACGTTTTCCAGTATTGTTTTTATTGTAGCAGCTATCGGGTGAAATCATAATGAAAATACGCTGGTAAAATTTGCATGTAGAAAACAGCTTTTGCTACAATATGATAACAACATCATAATCAGATGAGCATTGGATGCTATGCTAACATCACCTGTCTAATACCAGATAAACTTAAATAATGGCGCTATGATGCCAAAAAGCGCCAATTCAGACTGAAACACGCATTGCTAAGAAAATCAGCGACGTACCCAGTCGGGCTCTGGGCGATGGAAACACAACAGGGGCTAAAAAGAACCGCTTTGGAACCAGAAAAGCACTAGGACGGAGCTAGAACTGGAACTGGTTTGGTGGGAAAGGGGTATTACAGATACAAATTACTGCACACAATTCCTCCCAGAATCAAACTCTCAGACGATACAGCCATTCTTGGCCTAATGCATAGACAGCGGCCCATCAGTATGGAGCTAATTTCCTGCCGTAACTCCACAAACAAACTAAACAGGTTTTACAAATGCCTACAAAATGTGTACACATTCATGGTTGCTAACGTTTTTTTGGTGGAAATGTGTTTTTTCACAGCAAAGTCACCCTCTGTACTTGGACTTATTGGGAGAATTTAAAGGCAAGAACATCCCAAATATTCATTTAGGTCTTTATTTTAGACCTTTAGTGTTGCCGTCTGTGAGGAAAATAAACGGGGCTCAGAGCCTCGTATTTTTAAAATCTTTTTTTCCTTCTAATTTGTTATTCTTCTCAAAATAGCACACTGTTATTTACTCACCAATAACACACAATTATCCTTGCTTTTATTTATTGGTTTAATTCCATAATCTCGGGCTTTTTTGGCGTTCGCCAGGAACTGAATTTCAAAATAAAAATAACCGGAAACAGACGTAGGCCTATAAGGGACATTTCGAGCATCATTGCGATTGTCAACATTTTTGAGTTTAGGATGGCCGAAGACACTACACTACCCATAATCCCCAGCTATCGTTTAGGACTACAGTCCCCGTGATTAATCTTCAAGGTCTGGGATTGGATGTTGGAGTGGCAGTGCGCCAAGGTTACACCGAGCGTCAAACAGCTGTTTGAAATGGAACGAAACCACGCCAGACTATCCAAAACTGGAATCGAACGCCCCCCCAGAACTATACACTACACTATTGTGTTTCGCAAAATGTTCTATGGGACGTCTCTACTGAACGTTTTCCCCACAATTAGAAGTTGCCAGTATTAAACACATTGGTGTTATCAAATGTAAAACATATAATTAATAAATGGGTGAAAATCGCTGTCCATAATGCGCAGCATTAATATATAGCATTAATATATACCCACATGACAGCTCATTGATACTTTGTAATTCTACTCAACTACAATTCAGAGGTTAACCTGGTATTTTTACTCCACTACACTTATTTGAGTTACTTTGCAGATTCTGATTAATGATGTGAAATATAAACAACCCTTAAAGCAGACTTTAGTTACACCTGAGTAAAATTCAGGTATGGTGATTGTCAAGTGCCAACAATCAGGAGAGATATTTGATAGTTGGTGCTTGAGAAGACTAAACATGTATCTGCAATTGACATGAATGGAAACGAGTAATAAAGTATATTAATTACTCGTTATTCTCTACTAATAGTTCATTAAAGACTGTATATTATGGCTATTTTGCACATCCCTGTCAAGATTTTCAAAGGTTTATTGACATATGATATCATATACACAACTACGGTGTAGTTATGCAATCAACAGTTTATTACAAGACATCTATCAATATGTGTGTCCCTCCACCATTAAACTGTCATATTCTGCACATTTCTTATTCTATCTATCTACATAAGAGTATAATTCATATGTATAATATCAGTTAAAATAAGTGCTTCAACATAGTTAACATTGCAGGAAAGCAATATATTAGACGTTAAGTACTTTGTCAGGCTTAATATTGATCTGTAGATAGATACCCCCAAAGTTTTTTTCTTATTTAAAAGAAGACCTTAATCTGTTATTTAATGTTTAAATAAAGGTTAATTCGTTTTTCTGTTTTGCACCTCCTCCTATTAATATCTTTGTACATTCTGCACTAAACTGTTTTATTGTAGAGATCACTTATAGTATCTTCTTGATTTTTTATATTCTATATTTATACTTTTCCCCCTATGAAAGTATGTACTCTTAATATTTTTTTAAACAAATAAAACACATAAAAACAATAATTCAATAACGTGCTTTAACCACTAGGCGGTGCACACAAGGTACACACAGCCATAATAACTTTGTATTATTAGTGTTGGACACTTGTATGTACAACATCTGAAGATGTGTAGTTTTATTCATGCTTTCACATAATTTTACAGCATATTGCTATACTATTTCAGACTCAGTATTTACATTCTTACATTCAAAATGCAATCCAATTCAAATCAGTAATATCTTTAAAAACTGCAAATCCTTTTATATCAGCTGTGCACCGTTATGGTGTAAATATAACCTATCTATGAATTATATCAAATGTAAAAGTCAGCCGAATTAGTGTTGATACTGCAAGGAGACGTATTGTGTGAAGAGAAATTGAAGATGTTGTTTAAATGTTGAAATATTTATGATCCACGTCAAGTATTCAGTTTCGGCGGCATTTCTTCAGTTTTTCCAAAGGTCTTCTCATCAGGGCTCTATAAATAAAGAACTACGGCAGATCTGTAATATACAATGCAGCCGAACCGTGTATTACAATGCCGTTATGTGATGACTTTCAAAGAGAAAAGCAAGAGCACTCGGAATTAAGTATTATTTTAAAATGTTTTCCGGATTTCATATAATATAAACACCAAATCCCAGCATGCATTGCGGCTAAAACATCCAATCAGCGTAGCTGAGGATCTTGGGTAATCGCTCGAAATGCCTACGTCTGTTTCCGGTTATTTTTATTTTGAAATTCAGTTCCTGACGAACGCCAAAAAAGCCCGAGATTATGGAATTAAACCAATAAATAAAAGCAAGGATAATTGTGTGTTATTGGTGAGTAAATAA